ATTTTTAACACTAACGTCTATTCACATAGGCTCAGTTTGTCGTCCACACAGCATGTGCCTTCTTACAATTAAAAAAATGTTAGCAGGAACAGCGCCTAGAAGGGGGAAATCAGGCACCTAAGGGAGAACTTAGAGAAGTAATTTGTTTCAAAGAACTTCAAATAGTCACTTCTCTTGTCTCCGTCCCTACTGATAGGATAATTACTTGCAGGATGGGAGAGGAACATTTCCCACTTCCAGATTTCTCGGGAGAATCTCACTGGCTCAGTTTCTTTCTGCATCAGGACTTAAGTACAGTGCTGCCAGCTGATGGGTGAGCTTTTCTTGGTCGAGTGTCCACTTCTTGACCCAGTGAACTCCTACTGGAGAGTAGGGGGACTGGGTCGTGTCTTAAGAATACAACCACTTTTTAGTTCGGCGTCTCTGACAGACACCAAAGTGGACTCAGAAGTGACACAGAGAGATCAGATCACTGGGGAGAAGGAGGAGGTCCTAGGAGGACACTGACAGAGGCAACGGTAAAAGGTCTAGGACGGGATTGGCTGAGAAGGGGAATGCCTCCAGAGCACATGGAATTATGGGTGAGAAGATTTAAAATAAAAGAAGGGCCCTTGGGCTCTCTTCTCTCTCTCTTCCTCAAGGTGCCTGGATGGTGGTGCTGCAGCTGCTTGCGCTTCCCAATGGACAGCACTGTGGATGAGAGGAAACTCTGGGCACAGCCAGCCTAGGATCGGGTGGGCCTGGCAGAGGGAGGCAGGGTTACCCTTCTTTGGGTGTTCTAGAGGGGATGGGCTCTGAGGCAGAAGCCCGCCATTCTTCCAAAATTGTGTAGCTTATGCATCTTACATTGTTACAGTTTGTGAACTAACTCTATAGAAATAAGATAATTAAAAACGGGGAACGCTAGGAGAACTCAGATGTTAAAGATTTTAGCCTTAATTGATAGGCTTAAGTGATAAAGCTGTGACTAGTGTATGTGGAAAACCATTATTTCAAAATTGTGTAGCTTCTGAATAAAGACCCTTTTCCTTTATCAGCAAACCTTTGCTTCCAGAATTCCGCCTAGAGATGGCAGCGGGAAGCAGAACCCCACTTGCTGTTTGGTAACAAAAGTGCTAACGTGTTTTTACATCTACTTCAAAACTGGAATAGAAAACTTAGGACAGCCAAGATCGACTTCCTCACGGGCTTCCCTTGATGTGAAACGCGACACTCCCAGGAGTAAAAGCCAAAGTTCGGCATATACAGCGTGGGGCAAAAGTAGGCTCACAAATGTTCATATGGAAAATAATGAATAAATAACAATGCAAGAGTAAACTGTTTTTTGAAAACCTACTTTTGCCCCACCCTGTAGTTCCGTTACATCACCGATTAGTAAACCTAATAGTTTAGTCAGCATCCTGTTGACTTCCACTAAATTTTGTAAGCAGGGCTACAAGTTTCCAGTGAAAGCGAAGAGGTATGTAAACAGCCCAACATTTATCCACTACAAACAGTAGGGAGATGCGCTGGTAAGGTTTCACGTGATGACCCCAGTCAGGCAGCACTGTCACGCCAAGCACAGTCACTCTGCCTGGACGCTCCTGCAGGGAGCCCAGCCACTGGCACCGCCCTCTCCTGACCACCCTGTTCTCTTCGCTTGAGGCTGCTGCTCCAGGAAGCAAGCCAAGGAAGAAGTGAGGGGAGGAGGACACCCAACCAGCTAAGACATGTCCATCTAGTCCAATAATCAATGTTCACACACCTACGAAGGGGACTATATGAGTTCCGTTTTTATATAATGCCAGATGTCAGGGATATCTGGATCTTTAAGGTGGATTTCTGGGTAGTTACTCTCCCTTTTTATACCCAGCATAGTTCTGTCCCTGTAGTTATTCCTCACAACCCCCTCGCAGCACGTGATCCTGCTCCCTTTGCCACAGTTACAAACGAATCAGAGCAGAACCTCAGCAGTCTTCGGCTGCTGTCACTTACCACCAAATCCCTCGCCAACCCAAAGAAATGCTACCCCTTCCTTTCCTCTCTTGCTCACTGGAGGGAAAGAAGGCTGCTTCCTTTCCTCTGCTTCTCATTTCCTCTGTGCTCCTTATGGCTTTGCTTCATCAATTAGCTCCCTATCCCCCATCTCTTCAATACCTCCTCACTCCACTGGATTCCCTTTCACATGAATGTAATCATGGTTAATTTCTTATACCCTAAGGGGGAAATAAAAGAAAAGCTAAAGCTTCACTTCATCCTATGTGTCTCTTGTATTCCCTTATTTTTTTCTTTCCCTTTAAAGGCTAGCTTCTTGCAAGGATTTTGATATCAAATCTTCATTTCCTCACCAAATAGTCACCCTCCAATTCTCTGCAAGACAGTGGGTTTTTCTGTTTGTTCTTTTCCTCCTTTGGGGGGCGGGTGGGTGTGAGTGTCAAATCTAACAGCCGCTTCACCCTTTCCTTCTGGCCAAGCATTCCTCCTGTCGGAAGTGCTCCTCCCTCAATGACCACATTACTCTTTGCTGGTTTTTCTCTCTCTCTTTTGAGTCCACTTCCTCCTTAACCTGTTGCTCATGTTCCTCCTTCTATTCTCCCTTTAAATGCTGGTCTCATTCGGGGTCCCACTCCCAGCCCTGTTCCGGGTCATCTCATCTGCTTCTGTAACTTCAGCTGTATCCTTGTGTGTTCAAGGGCCGGCCAGCCAGCCCTCGCCTTCTCAACTCACTGTCGAATCCCAGAGCGATGTAAACTCCCCACGGGACACTCTTCTTTGTAGCCCACAGGCACCTCGCATTCAATACACCAAGAAAAGGAACTCATTATCCTTTTTCTTTTTAAATTATTTTCACAGATCGAGAGAGAAACATCATTTGTTGCTCCACCCATCCACGCACTCACTGGTTGTCTCCTGCCTGCGCCTTCACAGGGGATTAAACCTGCAACCTTGGCTTATCGGGATGATGCTCTGAACCAACTGAGCTACCCGGCCAGCGCCCAGAACTCATTGTCTTTACCACAAGGTGCTCCTCCTCTGAGTTCCCGAGCTCAGTGAAGGCAACACAACTCAACTAACTGTCTGTGTCGCATTCCTGGCCATCAGGGATGGCCTCTCCTCCCCTATTCATTAACATACAAATCTTCCTATTCCTGCAAACTGTCTCAAAAATCCTGCTTCTCTCTAGCTTTAATGCTCCTGCCAGGATTTATTTAGGTAATTTGTTCACTCAAGAATTATCTATGGTTATCTATCATCAACTCTTCCCTGGATTACTGAACATCTAGACCCTAGATTCTCCTCTGACCCCCTCTAATCTATTCTCCAATATGCATCTGGAATGATCTTTAAAAAACAATCCCCTCGCCTAAACCCTTCATTGGCTCTTCACTGTTTTCAAAACAACGTCAAACTTCTATAATACAGCATGTAACAGTTTTCATGAGCTAGCCCCTCCTTACTTCCCTTGACCTCATCCTTCCATACTTTCCCTCCTATCCACTCATCTTCAGCCGACCGACTCTGTACTTGTTTCTGCCAGTGCGCCCTTCCTCCAAGCCCTGCTGCTTCTCACTTCCACGTTTAACTGCTACAGGCTTTCGGACCGACCTTGGGCATTAACATCTCTACAAATCTTGGATCAGATACCTCTTTGCTGAACTCTACCAGAGCACTTACCACATAAAACGACTGCTTGCTACCCTACTTGTTTCCTTTCCCTACTTAGTTGGGAGTTCTTAGAGGGCAGGGATCTAGTCTTAGTAAACTTTAAACCATCCATTTACATTATACAGTGACCGCCATATAGAAGACCCGAATAACTATTTTTGAGTTAATAGGCTAAAGTGGTATTCTTTTGAACGTAGGTAAAGTAATAACAACTGTTTGGCAGTACTTTACGGTTTAGAACATTAATTTTCATAGCAATCCCATCAACCATAGTTTAAGCGTAAAGAAACAAGAATGGAGAAGCTAAGTGACATGCCCAAGGCAGGACTCCATTCCAGGCCTCCCGTGTGTGAGGACTGAGAATCTTCTACCACACAACTGCGACTCTGTCGAAAAGTTTAGACGTGAGCGAGATAATTCATCCTGCAATAGGGCTGCAAATCATCCTTTAAATATGCAATTTAATCTTTGGACATAAAAATGCATAAATGAATTTTTATAAGAAAGGGTCTAACTTGAATTAATACCACAGTACTGCTTAAATTTTTCATATATGAAGAAACATCTCCACTTCCTACTATTGTATTTAGCATCTCAGAAATTGACAGAAATTTAATAACTGTCATAGTTACAGGTTTATACTTATTAATACAATGAACAGTTGAAAATAAAACAGAATGCTCATCTGCTCTTTCAAAGGTTCATATGCTCTTAGAAATGCCTACTCATAGCCATTTTCTGGGTCTTAAATACCACGAATATACTTGCTAGACACAGTCACACATAAGCAGTAATATTACCAATTTCCTCTAACCTGACCTAGGATTACATTCCACTTACCTTGAAGTGCTGACAAAGGCCAAACTCAATTCAGAACTAATTTCTCAAAGGCCAAAAACTTTCTCTCAGAGATTAATTTCCAAGCATTAGGATCACCTAATGCTGGCATTCCTATAGGAACACATCATAATTCTCACCGTCAAGTATACTACACTTTAGAATGAAAAAGAAAATAACCTTCTCCATACAAATAATAAAGTATTACTATTCTATCATGAGATTATTTAAAATACCCAAACCATTGTTTTCAGTTCATTTTTGAGACATATATCAGTAACTTAAAAAACCCAGAACGGAGCCCTGGCTGGCGTGGCTCAGTGGATTGAGCACAGGCTGCGAACCAAAGTGTCGCAGGTTCAATTCCCAGTCAGGGTACATGTCTGGGTTGCAGGCCATGACCCCCAGCAACCGCATATTGATGTTTCTCTCTCTCTTTCTATCTCCCTCCCTTCCCTCTCTAAAAATAAATAAATAAAATCTTAAAAAACAACAAAAAAAACAGAACGGTTACTTACAATACATCCTTGAAGTCTCCAAACACGTACATATGCCTAAAGCTGTCGATGGCGATCACGGGGCAGTCTGCGGGCGTTTTCTGTATGTGCAGAAGGGGGTGTCTGAATTTGTCACAGTCAGCATGTAAAAAGTTTATTGTACCTTTTCGAGAAAAAGAATTTGGAGAGGGAGATTAGAATTTTCTTGATTGTATTCTTGAAATATTGCAAGTTCATAAAAAGTATACATTAAAAAAAAACCCAAATGCTTTATAGTCACAGAGATCACAAAGACTAAAACTAAATATTATGACACTTAAAAGAGGTAGGATTTAAGTTCTTCGGGCAGAGAGCATAGTTTTCTTAAAAACTGTATTACCTCAACCTGAATTCAAATACTATGGTGAATGTTTTATTTTTCTTACATGAATACTCCTCTGCTCTGCGGAGGACCCAGGTCTGGGAAGCAAGTTCCTGAAACTGATGCGTGACCTGTTCTCCTGGGACTGTCTTCATGTCATCAAGGATGCCCTTCGAGTCCCTAACTGGTTGACTTTTAATCTAATTCACCCCTCAAAATATTTGCTGAGTCACTAATATGGGTATGACTCTATGCAATGGCTTCAGTTTAGTATGTTTGGCTTTCTTAACTACAAAGGGAAAGCTGGTGATATCTCAGATTGTTTTTTGATGCTTTGGAGAAGTCCACAGAGAACTCAACTTTCTCTCAGCAATATGCCCAGGGCTATCTATTACAAAAGGACCAGGCAAATATCAAGGTGCTAGAAGAAAGTGCCTAAAACTAACGGTGTCTACCCATGACCCCACTTTTCATGCAATTTGAGCTTAGGGAACTAAAACAGACATGATTTAAAAAGAAAAGTTATTGCTTCATATTATGTCTCTACTAATGCCTCTCACCCCCATGTTTTACTTTACATGTAAATTCTGGGGTTGTCATGGGGAAGGGAATGGGGAGAAAGAAAGAAACAAAGAGAAAAGATGAAAATAAACACCTTAATCTGTCTACCTTTTTCACTTATTAATTGTCGGGCTACTTCATTCTGGAATATTTCTAAACTTTCTGTATCTTCTTTCATATGGAAGAGTATTAGAAAAGGCAGTCCTTCTTCTGTCAATTCCTGTGTAAAGAAGTATGCAATGAGAATTACCAGGCCTCTCCATTTGGTCCTAGCTATTTTCTAGGCAAGAACAATTATGAATGCAACCCAGGTAACATACAACAGTTGCAACATCCCCTGGGGTGGGGGTGGGGGGCTGGTAGCGGGGGCAAGGTCCAATGGTATAAGCAAACATAAATGGAAGAAGGTACGCACTCCCTCCACCCGAAGTCCCAGGCACTCAGAGGGCCACATGTCCTGCTCTACTGCAGGAACTGATCTGCCTTAAAGTAACCACTGGGCTAGTCTGTTAACTAGTACTGGTTGAAGCCGTGACATTTGAAAAAGGAGTTGGCCAAACAAGAAACTAGGTTGGCTCTTTATCAAGGTATTGACTTTAGGGTGTGGTAAACATGGTCTGCCCCACAGACTTTACAGTGGGGTAAACTCTCTTCACAGGGAACACTGAAAAACTGAGTGTACCAGCAGTAAATAAATCTGATTTGTAAACTTATGTTCATTTTAAGGTGTATGCAAAAACTTAGATGAGATCTACCCAAAGCTGAAGAGTGTTTGATTCAGAGTAAGTCACAAACCACCCATAGCACAGCCAGTTTTTAACCAACACACAATTTTCAACATTAACAATACCCATCACAAATATGTGTGATTATATACCTTGTATATATACATACATAAAACTGACTTGAAAACTATAGACTGCTTTAAAATTTTATATTATTGTTATTGGAGAATAATTTAAGAGAAATATGATGAAGAGACAGATTTTCATCATTTATTCTTACAAATGCTAAGTTCTGACTCATAAGGAAAAGTCCAGAAGGGGCCTAATAATAAAATTATTTCCATCAACTATCCTTTTGTGTGTCTCTCTGCAATTTAGAAACTGCTTCTGCAGAAAGCTCAAATGTCTTGTATCCTATAAAAACTGAAACTGGGACCAATCTGATACAAGAGTTTTCTTCCGGTTCCTAGCTCCATGCTTAAGCCTATTATATCCATATACAAAATAAATTATGAGGCTTATTGTCACATTTACCTTTCAAAAATTGATATATAATTCATACACCACAAAATTCACCATTTTATGTGCACAATTTGGCGGGCTTTATTATATTTACAAGGTCTGCAAACATCAACACTCCCTAAGGCCACATCATTTTCATCAGTCTGAAAAGAACCCTGTACTCATTAGCAGTCATCCCCCCATCTTTCCTCCCCTAGCCCCTGGCATTACATTGATCTTTTTGGAGAGATTTTATTGTTTAGATGGAGGGGAAGGAAGGGAGAAAGAGAGGGAGAGAAACATCAATGTGCGAGAAAATCAGTGGCCCCTCGTACGCCTCCCACCTGGGGACCTGCCCACCAGCCAGGCGTGTGTCCTGACTGGGAATCAAACCGGTGATCTTTCCCTTCGCAGAACGACTCCCAACCAACTGAGCCACACCGGTCAGGGCACCTTGATCTTTTGCAAGCTGATTTAGAGTTTCTTCTTCCCACTTTTTATCTCTTGGGCTCACAAATGCCCCACGGTTCGTGTCTGGGCTTCTCTGCTCTAGCCTGGCAACTTCAACTAGTTCAGCAGTCTCAGTCAGCACTCCTGACAGCACCAGGGCCCTTATCTGTACGTCTCAGTGCCCAGTTCCCACTGAGAATCCAAGTCCAGGTTTCTGGCTTCCTGCTGACTACCTCCATTTCAAAGTCCAACCAACCTTCAACACTCAATGTTAATGCAGTCTCCTCCTCTTACTTCCCTGTTTCCATTAGTACTTCTATTTGTCTTTTAGCCTTTTTGTTTCAGGACTGAAGCCTCTTCTGGAAAACCATCCCTGATTCTGCCCTACTTCTGCCAAAGAAATGAATTCTGTCCTCTGAATTCCCAGGACATGTCCTCACTGTACCCCATGTGGCATGGGGCATGCTTTGTATTACATTCTCTGCACATGTGAACTACTGGACTGGTAACCCTTTAAAGACAGAGAATCTTATTTTACTTCTCTTTTGCCCACAGAGTTTTATATGCAATAATGTGTGCTCAATCTATGATGGAATAAATGAGGACACACATGTTGCCGAATAAACTACTAAGTGGGAAAGAAGACTCAGCAGTCACCTTTCAGAAAACTTAAGAGCTCTGAAGTTAAAAGTAAAAACAAATATAACATTATTTTATTAGACCTAACAAAAGTATGGATTAATAATTTGAAAAAATCTATTTGCTGAACTAATTTACATACATTAACATAGTAGTTGATAGTTTATTATTCTTGGGCTTCCAAGTTTTCCTGTGCACACATCAACATATTCTCTACCAAGCAGTAAATAAAAAGATTCAGGAGAGGGATTACCAAGATAACCATATACAGAGGTTTCCTCATAGTTTAAAAATCAGGGGCATCTAGCCTTTTGGCATCTCTGGACCACACTGGAAGGAGAAGAGGTGTCTTGGGCCACACATTAAACACATTGCGACACATAATTACAAACAAATCTCAGGTTTTAAGTAAATTTACGATTTTGTGTTGGGCCACATTCATAGCCATCTTGGGCCGTGGGTTGGATACCCCTGGTTTAAGTGATTTCGGGGTAGTTAGAACTCTTGTTTTATTGTTTAAAATTTTCTGTTCTATACCTTTAAACTGTTTTTGAAAACTATCCCTGCAACAACTGCCAAAGCAGGTATATAATTGTGACAAGTTACTAAATCTTTCTGAGCCTCTGAGAACTAAATGAGCTAATATAATAGAAATGTAAGTAATTTAGCCCTGCTGGTGTAGCTCAGTGGATTGAGTGGCGGCCTGCAAAACAAAGGGTCACTGGTTCAATTCCCAGTCGGGGCACCTGCCTGGGTTGCAGGCCAGGTGCCTGGTAGGGGGCATGTGAGAGGCAACCACACATTGATGTTTCTCTCCCTCTCTTTCTCCCTTCTGCTTTCTAAAAATAAATAAAATCTTTTTTAAAAAAGTAATTTAGCCAAGCATACCTGAAGCCTAGAGAACTCAGAAAAGTAGCAGAGATGTCCATTTGATAAATAAACTAAGAAAGAACACAAGCAACAACGTCACTGGAACACAACCACACTTACTGACATGTTGTCTAAGGTTGCTTCTGTGCCACAACTGCAAAGGTGAGTTGTTTCACAGAGACTACACGAACTGGAAAGCCTAAAGTATGTGCTGATTCCTTTACAGAACTGCCAGCTCCTGACTGGATGGTGACTCGGTGGGTGTGTTTACTATGTGGTAACTTCTTGAACTGTACATTTAAAATCTGAGCTATATACTTATTATAATTCTTTGAAGTGTATCTGCATATAAAAGGTTTATTAAAATTGCATTTAAAATGTTTTTAAAAATGCATTCTTAGACCATGGGTTTTAAAAATGGAGTGAAATAAAAAGATATATTTTTAATACAGTAAAGAATACGGAGACATGTCCCATAGACACAGCCTTCAGTACTTGCTCCTGGACTGCTGAGGACTTTGTGCTTCGTTTTTGTGGGAGTTGCACGTTTGCTTTGTTTCAGGCACATGGAGTCTCTGAGGTCAGTTACATAACTAATAATTGCTTTCATAAAACTTCATTCTCAGGATAGACAGGATTCAGAAAAACTTTTTTATGGCAAAAGTTTATCACTCTATATAATCGATTGTAATTATAATCTGCAGAGCATTGCTTCTAAAGGAAATGCCCTGAACAAGGATCTTCAACCCAGGGTTGTTATCAGAATCACCTAAGAGGCATTTTCAAATTCATTTTCAAGACTGTGATGAACCCCTGCCATTGCAGGAAACACAATGGAGGGGTTCTGGGACAACACAGGTGAGAACCACAGGCTCGTATTACAGAAATAGCTATGATGTAGTTATGTTCAACTGTATCCTTTTTACTACAGATAAGTATATAGTAAAATAGTATAAGATGAGTGGACAGAGTTTGCTTTTTCAGAAATCTGAATTAAAAATAATGACCCACTTTACATAGCCCATACCTCTCCATTTTCAAATGTTATTTCTCGGACAAGAGGAACACATTTATCTTGAATCCAATTGTACGTTCCATCAAAATTTGTCATAGATCCCAAGTATACCATATCTGGAGCAGAATGCTGTTACAAAAACAGAAAAAAATAGTAAGCAAACCTAACTTGTGCTAGCAAAAATGCATTCTTAAAGCCATCTATGAGTCCAGAAAATCTATAGGGGATATGAAAGAAGCAAAAAACATGAAACATCTGAGAAAGAGAACTGTAAATGATAAAACGCTGATAATTCTGATGATCAGGGAACTAATTATCCAACCTGTGATGCCTAACCCTTCTGCTTTCCCTTGGATTTGTGTCAATTAACTGTTTATTAGTATATTCACCAATGGCAGGCAGGCTTTATGAAAAAGAATTATCCAAAGAATTAAGTTAGCTATCCCTAGAATTGAAGATAATTAGAAGAAAATTTGGAGATTTCCCATGAGAAAGCCTTGAAAAATACAAGATACTATATAAATCTAAGGCATAGCTACCTCTAATATTAATTGTTTATAGTATCCATTTCCACATAGACTCAAAGTCACTATTTATGAAGTACTGAAAATGATGATAAAAATAACAGCTGACATTAACTAAGTAAACCTACTGTATCCAAGCAGTACTATAAGTACCTTATATATGTTGACTCATTTAATCCTTGAAATACTGGATAAGCAGGACTGTTACTGTCATGGCTATCTCTGCCAATGAACAAACTGAAGCAAGAGAAGCTAAGAAACTTCCCCAGAGTTATACACCCGGGAAAGTGGCAGATCTGACATTAAAACTCAGTCTCATTCCTGAGCTCATGCTCCTAACAACACTGTGAGACACCTTACTGGATTCTGATAACCTAGTAGTTCACACCATGGAAGCTACTCCTGAAGACACACACTTGCAGAAAATACAGGCAAATGCTGATCTGAATTCAGAATAGGAAGTGACCTTTCTAAGCAAAAGTCTCATTCATGTGACTACAGAAAAATTAAAAACTTTAAGGTGTCAAAATACTGCAGGCATTAAAATAAAAATTATGAATTGGAAAAATATAGACTCTTTGTGTGTATGAAAAAGTACGATGACAGACTATTAATAATTCATGTATTTATATTTAAAATCATATACACTACAAAATAGCAACTTACCCCTGGTGGTTTATAGATTATGCTGTCTCCACTATATCTTTCTGGTTTTGAAACAGCCCTAATAGGAAGAGAGAAGTAGTACTAATACTTATTAAGAAAAATAATAACAGTAATATATCTGAATGAAGCAGAACTGGCTAGCTTTTATACAACGTATGAATTATATATCTGAAATATGTACTTGCCCATCATCTTTCCTACTTATGAGACTATGCAATACCAATGAGAGCATATATTTTTAAAAATTATTAAATAAAATTTAATATGAGGCAGATTTTTAAAGAAGGGAAGTGTTAGGCCCTGGCTGGTGTAGCTCAGTGGATGGAGCGCGGGCTGGGAACCAAAGTGTCCCAGGTTCGATTCCCAGCCAGGGTACATTCCTGGGTTGCAGGCCATAACCCCCAGCAACCGCACATTGATGTTTCTCTCTCTCTCTATCTCCCTCCCTTCCCTCTCTAATAAATAAATAAATAAAATAAAATTAAAAAAAAAAAAAAAAAGAAGGGAAGTGTTAGATAGCTGCTTTATGGCTCAGTATTTTATAAGTTTGGACTGGCAGTTTTTGCACTAAAAACCTATTATTAAAACCAGATATTACCACTAACTCGTGATCAAGGTCATCAGTGTGGTCACACAGACCAATCACAAAACACACTGATTTGCTTGTAAGCCAGACTCATCCATGAATTTTTAGTTTTAATATCTCAGCCAAACTGACCCACTTTCGCTAACACGCTCTCAACTGAGATACTTACCCAAAAGCAGCAAAGAAGGCACAATCGTCGTGCAAAATACTTGCTACTCTTTCAAAAACTCTATAGTGGTCTGAATCCTTTTGCTCAAAATATCCAATGATATTTCTTTTGCTGCGCTGTAAAATAATGTGATTATTTTACAAACATATATAGTCCTATAAACACGTTATACCATTTACCCATCTTGTTCAATTATCTCAAAATGAGTTATGACTACAAATACATATTTGGCTTTTATCCTAGTGCAAACCTAGTCTAAAACTATTAAAGATTACATTGGATTGAAAACAATCTTAAATCTAATCTAATGTAATTATAAATATTCCTTTCTAGTATATTATTTTAAAATTTCAAGAAATCGATAACTATTTAATCAATGACAGTCCTTTCCTAAATAAGGTGACGAATTCTAAAATATTTTAAAATAGTACATCAATTCATAACACGTGACTGACAGTAGGCAGAGACTCCTCCACGGGTGTCTCACACTGCTTCACATGTAGGCTTCCACATAATACAAAGCCCTGACCACTCTTCACCCAGACCGTTTCTCAGGGTTGTGCCTCTCTCCGGGACAGAGAGCGGGCTTACTACCAGCACTGACACAGGGGTTGCCGGAGCGCAGAGCTCTCTTGTAGGACAACCCACTGCACATGCAGGCACCCAAGGGGGCCCTCTATGTCACCTATGTAAGTCCCGGGGGTCAAAGAAACAAATGCAAACATGCTCACATTGCTGGCTGTAATGTATGTAAGCAATAAAGTCCTTTGTCACTGACCCATAAGCCTTATGTCTTTTGACAGCATCTATGAAAATTATAGTCAGTTAACTTATTAGCTTGTAAGTAGGGTAAAAATAAATCTCAAACCAGACAGTGACAATCTGAAGCCCAAACTCAGTTGTATTTGTGTCTTTAAAGCACTAGTGTACAAACAAAAGAGTTTGCTAAGTTTATTATCGAGGGGGGCTATTTTATTTTAATTTTGTATTGTTTATGCTATTACAGTTGTCCCAACTTTTCCCCCTTTGCCCCCTGTCCCCAGCCCATCCCCCATTCCCACAGGCAATCCCTACACCGCTGTTCATGTCCATGGATCACGCATATGTGTTCTTTGTCTAATCCCTTCAAGGGGGGCTGTTTTAGAGGACAGAAAAACACTTATCAAAGAGCCGATGAAGGGGTAATTAGAGCAGACACATGGATGGTCTCCACTAAAGAAAATATGGAAACTTTGGTTGTGCAGGCCTGATGTTAACATTTACTTCTTTATAATTCAGGCTACCCTTTGACCTCAATTAATTCAAATTAGTGCAGCTTCACTGTATGCTATACACTTTATCCAAAGGTTCAGTAAAACATTAGCATTTCCCTTGAGAAATAATTGAAGAAAAATTTAACTTGCTATGTAAGTATATGTCAAACCCATTGCAATGAACTATAAGAAAATGTACAGATTCTTTGATTGCATAAGAATTTCTTTACATTAGTTAAATAGGAAATGTTCATTTGATCCAGCAAAAGTTAACAACTTACATCAAGAGTAGAGATTTCTGTTAAATCATGAAGTTCTTGAATAGGGTCACTTTTTTGTTGCCTGATGTAATCTGCAAGTGCTTTCACCGATCGCTGACCCCTGTATTCTCTCTTCATCATCATCCCATTACGAAATAATTTGAGGGTAGGGTATTTGCTTATCCTATATCGCTGGGCTATATCAGCTAAAAGAATGGAAAAAAAAATAACTTCACTCTTGTACTTGATCTAGGTAAGCCCATTAGCCAAATAGTCCAAAGCCTCACAATTACTTAGTGAGAACACTTTGGTTCAATCATTCTTTCTCTGTGGTAGAGAAAAAAATTAATCACAACAAGCTTGTGTTGGTAAGAGAGCCAGCTCTGGACATAGATAACCTGGTTCCAACCGCAAATTTGCTATTTACTGGCTGTGTGAACTTTTAACTTGCATCATTTGTCTGTGCCTTAGTTTCTCATCTTTAAGTAAAAATATAATTTCTACCACATGGGATTGTTTTAAGACCTAAATGAGATAATACAAATGCAAACTCTAAGTAAATGTTAGTAAACATTATTAATTATATATTCCAGAAAGGAATTAGAATGCACAAAACTCCAATTCTGAAAAGTCATTCAAGTTACACTATACTAGGAGGGTCTCTTAAAGCATTTAATAAAAGAAAATTAAATTTAAATGAAAATCACTTTCCAAGGCTAAAAATTAATATTAGATATTTTTTGCTAGAAGAATAATTTATAATCCCAAGTGTGCAATTTTTTACAAGCTAATAAAATAAAAACTCAGCAGTATACAGTAAAAAAAATCCCTTTATTACAACCTATGGGTATATTCTGAGGCAGTGAAGATTCTTTTAAAAAAATCATTAAAATTTGTGTTTATAAATAAAATGTAGGCTGATCTCATTTTTTAGGAATCACAATTACTAAGATGCCTTATGTCATATAGGAGAATGACAAAAGATACACTGAATTTTTAGAATAAAGGTGACCTGAGAGAGCACTGAAGTGATCTAAAACAGGTGACCTTGTTTTTCTCAACTGAGCAAAAATGAGGACAGAATTAAAAAATGGTGGCACAAAAACCCCCATGAAAACGGTCTCATCTTGCCTCCACTTCCAGTAGCTTTAAAACAGAAACAAAACACAACGAACAACCACAATACGTCTCTGCAGAGCACCTGAGTCTCCTAGGTCTGATGGTGGGAACAACTATACCAGGGGAGAAAGCAAGGAGCTACTGCGATAGTCCTGGCAGAAATAATAAGTCTATCTACAAAATGAAACAATGTAACTTTTTTCACTTATGGATAGGAAAAGATAAAATAATAAATAGAAACTATGGGGCAGCAGAGGTTTAATCCTCAAACATAACGCAGCAGGTGTGCTGCACAATGAGGTGGCTGTTAATTATTAAAAAGCAAAGACCTACCCTGGCTGGTGTGGCTCAGTGGATTGAGTGCCGGCCTGCGAACCAAAGGGTCACTGGTTCAATTCCCAGTCAGGGCACATGCCTGGGTTGTGGGCCAGGTCCCCAGTAGGGTGTGCATGAGAGGCAACCACACATTGATGTTTCTCTACCTCTCTTTCTCCCTCCCTTCTCCCTCTTTATAAATAAATAAATAAAATCTTAAAAAAAAAGCAAAGACCTTAAAATTACATTGATCAATAATCCCAGACATAAAGGTGACTTTTTACATGTGTTAGTCAAAAGTCATTTTAAGATAATTATAATATAACATTTTGACAATAAAACAAAAAATGACTGAAGGGGTATAATAGTTTTTTTACTAAGTGGGTGGGTCAAATGTTAAAATGTATGTCAAAGGAATTACAAATTACAGAAGGTTAATAGCTCACTGATGGAAAATTAGCACATATTTTTTGCTTCAATGGTCACTTACTTTTCCTTAATGGGCTCTGCCTGCCTGCCTGCCTGCCTGCCTGCAGCCCAGCAGGGCTCCACGTGGGGAAACTGTCTCATGACCTTGTCCCAGCACAGTCTACCCTGCCATGATCATCCATGGCAGACAGTACAGAGGCAAATGATTTCAACAGGCAGGTATTACTGTTCTTGTGGTTCTGGGATAAGAACCACTGCTGACTATGTAGCTTTTTTCATTCCCAAACCCTGCCCTCCCCTCAATGAGAAGAAGCAAACAAACAAAAGTCCAACAATAAAAGAACACCCTAAACAGAAAAATTGCAAAATAAGCCTTAGATGCTTACTCAGGACTCAGGTTAAGCCTGCCCATCTAAGTTCTGTTTTATGCACATAAATTCTTTACTGTGGATTTCATTGTTCTTCTTTTGTAACATGTTTTATTGAAATATATTTGACATATAACATTGTGCAAGTGTAAGGGGTGCAGTACGTCCGTTTGATACAGTGACATACTGCAGTATTGCAATGTCTTTGTCCCTGCAGCAATATTTGGCACCTCTATCACTTCACATAACTGACATTTTTGGGGTGAGAATAATTAAGATTTGGTCTCTTAGTAAGTTTGATGTTTTTAATACAATATTATTGTCTACAATTATTTTATTATTCTTAATGTCTCATTTATGCATAGCTCTCATAAAGCTTCTCAATTTTTCAATGTGAAAGGTTAATATTAGCCCTAGAAAGCAAACAGGTAAGAGTAACTCTGGTATTTGGCAGCACGTGCTTGCCTAATTCAAGGACAATTACAAAGTACTTTCCTAAAACTGCTAGTAGGGTTCTGCACTGACCAGCAAATCACTTATGGACATCTTCTGCCATACGGCTTACAGCCACTGGAGGTCAGCAAAGAACCTGGTCCCACCAGGGGCAGATTGACTGGACTTCATACACCTGAGGCAACACGACCACCCACCACTAGGGAGAGTGATGAATTCTACTCTCAACTCCCCAAATGAGAAGCCTGCCGAAGATCAGATAAAATGAGATTATGATCCACAGCTGAAGCAAGGGTAAGGTTGAATTTGATGTATATGTAGAAATTTTAGAAAACAAAGGCAATTACAAAAAAAAAAGCATTCATAATACCACCACCACTGGGGAAAACCACTATTAATGTTTTGGTTATATTTTGCTAACTATGAATAAAAATTGCTTAACTAGCAATGTCATTTCAATTGAAAAAAAAATAAACTCTTTAGCTGAATCTGCCCTATCAGTTTTCTCATCTAGTGTGAATGTTTCCACTTGGTTTTTAAAATTAATTTGTTGTCCATGTCTCAAAATGCAAACACTTATTACATTTATTTTAAATATGTGGTCTATTTTTCTGCTTTATATAGTACAATAGGTCACTGGTACAGAATAGAGAGACCAGAAATAGATTCACACATACATGGTCAGTTGATCGTGACACAGGTGCAAAGTCAGTGAAGAAAGGACAGTCTTTTCAACAAATAAGGTCAAAACAGCTTGATAATTATATGTAAAAAATAAACTCCAACCCGTATACAATGCCACGTATAAAAATGAACTCCAAATAGATCACAGATTGAAATGTAAAACTTTATATCGGGGTGGCAAACTCATTTTCCCCGGGGGCTACATCAGCCTCATGGTTGCCTTCAAAGGGCCAAATGTAATTTCAGCTCCTTAACAGTTAAGGAGTAGTTACATTTACACAGTCCTAAAATTATCTTGGCCCTTTGAAGGCAACCGCGAGGCTGATGTGGCCCTTGGTGAAAATGAGTTTGACACCCCTTTTATACTATAAAACGCAGGAAGGAAAACATGGTAGGAAATCTTTGTGATCTTGAATGAGGCAAAAAAATATTTCTTAGATATAGCACCATAATCATAATCCATTTTTAAAAAGGATAAATTGGACTTCAAAAATTAAAAAATAAAATTACTATATGTTCCAACAATTCTACTTCTGTGTATATATCCAAAAGAGCTGAAGGCAAGGTCTTGAAGAGATATTTGAATATACTCGTGTTCATAGCAGCATTATGCACAATAGCCAAGAGGTGGAAGTAGCCCAAGCATTCACAGACAGATGAATGGATAAACAAAATGTGGTATACAGATACGATGGAATACTATGCAGCCTTAAAATGGAGGGAAATTCCGACATATATACAACATGGATGAACCTTGAAGATGTTAGCTAAGTGAAATAAGCCCATCACTAAAACACAAATCCTGTATAATTTCGCTTACATGAAGAATTTAGAGTAGTTGAGTTTATATCAACAGAAAGTAGAATGGTGGTTGCCCAGGGAGGAGGAAGGAGGAAACAAGAAGTTTAATGAGTACAGCATTTCAATTTTGCAGGATGAACTTCTGGAGATTGGTAGTACAACAATGTGGATACTTAATGCTACTGAATTGTACATTTTAAAATAATAAAGATGTTAAATTTTATGTTCTGTGTATTTTAAAATTGACACTTAGAATGAAAAAATTATTGGCATATTACACATTTGAAAAATAATTTGTATTCCTAATATATGAAGAGCTCTTAAAACCCAGTAAGTAAATAGTATAAATTATGATAGCTGTTAATAACCTAACAGATATGTTAAATTAAATATACTGACCATACCAAGCCTTTGCAAGAATACAGACACAACTGGAATACTCACTGCTAGTGGAAATGTAAAAGAGTACAAATATTTTGAAAAAGAGTTTGGCACTTTCTTAAAATTAAACATACACCTACCCTATAACCCAGGTATTTCAGACTTAGGTTTATGCTCAGGATAAATGAAAGCATATGACCAGAGTTGTACCTGAACATTCACAGCAGCTTTATTTGTAATAGCCTGAAACTGGAAAACCCAAATGTCTGTCAACAGGTAAACAGTTAAACAAACTGTGGTATATAACTGTAGAATGAAATGTTACTCAATGAATAAAAATCAATGACACATGCCAACAATCTCAAAATAACAATGCTGAGTCAACAAACACACACACAGAACACATAATGTATGATTCCACTTACATAAAATCCTAGAAAGTGCAAACTAATCTACAGTAACAGAAAATGGTTCCAAGGTTCCCTGAGGGCTGATGGAGGAGAGAAGGACCACTTTAAAGGACCACAAGAAAAATTGGGAGGATGACACATATGTTGATTATTTTGATTGTGGTGATGGTTTTACGGATGTATACATGTGTTGAATGTTAAATTGTATAAGTTAAACTTGTACAATCTCTTATTAAAAACAAATCCTACCAAAGAACAATCTGCCTAACAGGCATTCCTCTCCAGACCACAGGATTCTTAAGGTCCTCACAGTTCAAAATCTCTATAATCCAACTGGCATGTAAGGGGTTATCCAAAGTACAGTTTGTCTTCCAATCTCTAAGGAGAGAGTGGAACATGTGGGTAAATTATCAATATGGATTTCATAATGTCACTTTCAGAAAATGAAGAACTACACAGAAGGGAATAAAAATTTAGAGAAAATATACAATATCTGAGATATAACTTTCATTAGTAAAAAAACTAATTTTGGAGATCTCTTTGGTGGATTGAAAGATCTGAACTATGGCTATTTATTCCTATTAAAAGAGAACTTGATTACTAGCAATGATGTCAGATTTATGTGAAAAGTAAGTTAATCTTTTTAAAAGATAGAATAAATGATATTTAGGGTATAAAAAGTCAGTTTTTCTTTCCAATAATTATAAGCTTGAAAGCATAATTTCAGACTTTATGATGCAAATTCAGAGTTGTTTGCACTGCTATCTGTACTATAATGTTTAATTAAATATATAAAAAAACAGAAAGATCTGAAATGAGAGTCCACATCAAAAACATGTTCTCTGCCAGTGGAAGGTGGGAGAAAAGATCCAGAAAGCAGAGAGAAAATGCAGTCCATGTATGTATAACAACCTTTGATTGCTCCCTTCATCCTATCTAGTTATGAATCTCAGGAGACAGAAATATGTAGTATGGCTTGTTAGATTTTGAAATGCTTTGCTGTTAGCCATTTCTATCTAGCATAGGACTTCCCCAGTAAATCCCCAAAATGTTTGTTGAAGTGAACAGAAAAAAAAGCAAATATAGCAGATCCTTGAGTAATGTCGTTTTGTCCAAAGCTGTTGTACTATAATGTTGATGAGATGCCTTAGGAACTTTTATTTATATCAACTAGACTACGGTAAAGTTGGTTTCATTCTAGTCCTTTCACTTCAAGTTGCTGAACCCATAGGTAACGTTAAGTAAGAACTTACTGTAGGTCTGTGAAGGCAATCAGTCAGATACAAATTCTAACTCTGGCTTGATTAGACATTGAGCTGTGTCACATTGGTTAAGCCACTTTATTTCCATTTTCTCATCAGTAAAATGAAGTTAGTGCACACATACACACATTCTTATTATCAGAGGTATAGGATAGGAAATATGCAGAGTGGGAGAGTTCTATATTCAGTCCAATCACCAATAATTCAATGCAACAAGCTTTTAATGAGCAGTCTCTATCTCTCAGAAACTGTCAGATTCTAGAGATTCAGAGACTAATGAGTAGTTTAGTCTTCAGTTAAAAAAGATTAAACAAAAACACTAAAAGCAGAAGAGACAAAGTGCCTGCCTCTGAAGAATTGACATTAAAACTGGTAAGACAACTAAAATACAGGAACCAGGATGACAAAATGGAATTTGTTTGGTTCTATGAGAGAAGAAAGTTCAAGTGTAATGGGGTGGCACTTGGGAGGAAACACTACTGCAAGCTCACAATAGCTTGGGTTAGAGAAATCTGTCATGTGAATGGAAAACCAAGAAGATTTTATGGGGAATGCTCCACTAGGACAGGTGAAACCCAAGAGGCTGGATTTTAAGTGAGTCTAACCGAGGCTTCCCGATACTCTCAATAATTACAAACAGTAACTACAGCTATTTATACCTCAAAGATAGTCTAAGCCGATCTTAAAAGAACCTTTTAAATAACAGAAACACATAAAAATCTGAGATTATTTTATTTGGCATGACTACAAATGATATTTTTGCACAATTCTAAACCTAACAAAAATCAATTTTCCCCCTAAAACTGTATTTCAATTTTATTTGATTTTGGTATTAGCTTTAGAAGAAAACATTGCTAGTTATGATTTGCTACTTATATACTTGCTCTACTATATTTTAATTTAAAAAATGAAATAAAAATTTTTAAAACCCTTCACACAGCAAAATGGAAAGTTGTGTTATAAGTACAAAAGATTAAATATTAACATTTTGAGCAAGGCCACTAGTACTTTTTTGATTTGTTCTCCACTTGAAGCACAGCATTTCCGGAAAAGTGTGTGTGTGTGTGTGTGTGTGTGTGTGTGTGTGTGTGTGTAGGGGAGGTGGGGATGGGACAGTTTCTTCCAAACTTCCTGCTGAGGTACTTACAGTGCTGATCACAATCAACTCTGGCAAACACTACTTGATTTGCATTTGGATATTCTTCCTTAATAACATTGGAAGCTTCCTCAAAAATTGGATGCAACATCTGGCTGAAACGACACCTATGCACAGAGAAGGACACCAATTAAAACTGAAAAGCAGACTGAATAAAACCTTGTATCAGTTATTATCCATTGACATTTAGCCATATATACAATAAATAGCTTTTGAGACCATCACAGTTAATTTAGTAATGAATCTTGATGTCATTCATCAGAGATGAAGACAATTTTGAATTCAAACATTGTACAGATAATTAAAATATTTTGGGGTTTTTTTTCACCTTGGAAAATGGCCAAGATTACGAAACACACAGCTAAGGATCCCTACAGGCCAGGGAAATGCCTGCGATAAGCCCTCTAAGATGTATCTACTTGGACTTGGAACTTCTGAGACTTGGGCATTTATTTTTTTAAAAATTAGCTTTCTCTAATAATGAATATTTTTAGACTGCTGTTCAAAATCTTTAAAATGGTAGGTTTATTGCAAACATTAGACCAATTTACCTGACTAGTTTAATCAAATTTCATAGGCAAGTCAGCATACTAAACAAGTAAGTCGCATAGGAAGGATACATAGCATATAACAACTGCTTCCCCCCACAATTTACCCCTGGTTAAAATGAGCTTTTGTAGCTATAAACATATTAAATATACTAAGTTCAAGAGAAAAAAATCTTAAATTCCTAAATAAGACTTCCTGTCCATGTTTCCCTTGTCATTTTGGTTTGTTCTATTTTTACTTTTAAGAGGGGGTGCAAACCCCACAATATTCCAGAAACTCAACACTTCTAATTCTAACTGTCCCTTAAGGCCAGCCGCTTCCCAAATACATGCTATGGGACCTGACAAAAAAGAAAAAAGAATCAGAAGCATCACACAACCAGCTGGGTATGAATGGTCAAGTCTCATAGGAAAAAGTTATTGAGAATTTGTTATTTAAAAAAAAACAACAACTATAATTGCTACCATTGCTTTCAGAGCCATTTTCTACCAAGAAATGTACTTAAATGAAGGGTGTGAACTAAAGAGTTAATCCATATGTGATGTCATATATATTAACTATAATTCAACAAAAATATAAAGCTGTGAGAGGATGCAAACTTTATTCTTCCTCCCTATTTCTTTTTGTATATAGCTCTTCTAGCCCACTCACCTGACTTCCTAAGGAGATGTCCTAGAATATATCAAGTAGACACAATCTGTATCTTCAATCTCTTGCTTTCAAGTGGCTCTTTCCTCTTTTAGCATTCTTAAATCTCTCCCATCTGGGATAGGTGGGTGGGGTCTGCGGACATCAGGGACCGTGTCTTATTTGACTACATATTCTAATAAGCACTTCAATAGATGTCTGTTAAATGAATAAATTGACAGAATGGAGGAACTAGAGAGGCTAGGACCACAGGGTTGTGGGTTCTTACAGTCTGATAAAAATAGGGTACCAGAGGGGCAGGGAAGACAATGGGTAGGGACTGACTAATGCTTTCTGCAAGAAGTGAGACGTGGCCTAGTAAAGAATCAGCAGACAGGCTCCCTCCTGCCTCAGGTGAAGACACACATTAAGGGCTCCCTCTTTCTGGATTGTCCAGTTTGCTGCCCAGTAAGTATTTAAGCACGGGTTCTTGTTTAAAGTAGAATCTGTTTTAATATCAAAAGGTGGAAGTGGAAGATGAAATAAAAGTTCAATTGCAGTATCACTGAACCTTCATACACATATTCCCATACATATGTAAAGTTACACTTGTAAAAGTAACATAACAAAAGCAATAAATCTATTAAAAGGACCTTAAGAGTCATCTGAATCCAAACTGATGCTTGAATCAACCCTTTATAAATCAACCAAGTGGGTCAAGTCTTTTTGCAGGGACAATTTGGGGACACTTACTAGTATGACCTAGTGAAGAAAAATAGTAAGTTTTGGAGTCAGACATATCTGAGTTTAAACCCCAGTTCCACCACCACTTACTAGCTGTATGACCTTTCTAATAAGCCTCAATGAAGTCAATCTAAAATGGAAATTATAGTACCTACCTGCAGGGTAGTTCTGAGCATTAAAAATAATGCATGTAAAGATCCTGGCACATAAAAGAATTATTAAATGCCTACTATGGTTTATTGCATGCTGAGGCACATCAGTATTTTTAGGCAGCTCTGTTACAGAATTCTTCCTAAAACTGTGTCACACTCATATTTTCCAGAGGGAGCTCAGAGTCGAGGCTTTGAGGCTACACAGTGTATGTCTATGTCCTACAGCCAAGTCCCTACACTTTTTTCAATTGAATAAAAGAGCACTAATTCATGAACAACTCAAGGTACTTTGGGGGTAATATGTTTTCTCAAATAACTGCAATTAGCCCACATTTCCATTTCAGTTTTTGTAACAAGGTCAGTGGAACATTCTAGTTCTCTTTCTTAAACACATAAAATCCCTTAATCAAGAGAACTGCGTTCTAGTTTTAACTCTGCCAACGTCTAATCAGGTAACCTTGGGAAAATACTTTACTCTTTTGGATCTCAATTTTATTCTTAAAGGACTGGACTACTTAAGCTTCCACCTAATTTACCCTGAAAATGCTACCTTTATTGCACACTTTATAAATAGCATTTTCCCTGTATATCTTTATTCAACATTTGTTCATTATATACCTATACATCATTCATTCAGTGAATGTTAATTATATACTTATCTGCCAAGTGTTAATGCAAAGTGCTTGGGGATTACAGTTGAAAAAAGACAGATGTGGTAACTTCTCACAAACCAACTAAACCACAGCACAGGAGTGTTACGGTCAGGTAAATATAGGGTGTTATGAGAAAATACAAAAAAGGCTCCTAATCTGACTTGAGAGGAGGAAGGTGATCTGGAGAAAGTGACATCTAATCTAAGGCTTGAAAGATAATTAAAACTTAACTACATAAATAAGTAGATAAGACTGAGCCATTCAGGCAGAGAAAATACCATGACTAAAGGTGATGAAAGACAATAGAATATTACAGAAACTGAGAAACATTCAATATAACTAGAACAGAATATGAAAGCAGAGAAAGGCAAGAGATATAGCTGTATAGGTCAGAAGGGACCAGGTTACCTAAAGTCTGCCTAAAGAAAACCAATTAGGGTTTTCACAATGAGATACCACTCCACACTGGTCAGAATGGCCCTCATAAACACATCAACAAACAGGTGCTGGGGAGGATGTGAAGAAAAGGAAACCCTAGTACACTGTTGGTGGGAATGCAGACTGGTGCAGCCACTGTGAAAAACAGAATGGAATTTCCTCAAAAAAATTAAAAATGGAACTGCCTTTTGACCCAGCGATTCCACTACTGGGACTGTACCTTAAGAATCCTGAAACACCAATTCAAAAGAACCTATGCACCCCAATGTTCATAGCAGCACAATTTACAAGAGCCAAGTGCTGAAAACAGCCTAAGTGCCCATCAGTAAACAGTGCCTCAGAAAACTGTGGTACATTTACACAATGGAATACGATACAGCAGAAAGAAAGAAGGAGCTCCTACCCTTTGCGACAGCATGGATGGAACTAGAGAGTATTATGCTAAGTGAAATAAGCCAGGTAGTGAAAGACAAATACCATATGATCTCACCTATAAGTGGAACCTAATCAACAAAACAAGCAAGCAAAATAGAACCAGAGACAAGGAAATAAAGAACAAACTGACAGTGACCAGATGGGAGTGGGGAGGGAGATAATGGGGGAAAGAAGGGTCAAGTCAAGCAACATGTATGAAGGACCCATGGACAAGGACAACAGGTGGCTGGGGAGGACTGAATGTGGGAGAGGGGTGTTGGGCAGGGCAGGGGAGAGCAATGGGCAAAAAATGGGGCAACAATAATTGAACAATAAAATTTTAAAAAAATAAATAAATAAGATCTTAAAAGAAAGAAAACAAATTAGGGTTTTAAGATGAAGGGAAAACTGATCCAATTTGCATTTTAGGAATGACCGCTCTGGTTTACTTTGTAGAAAAGAGAATGGAGATACAGAAAACTAGAGGCACAGATAGTAAATTAGAAAACTGTCCCAGGAATCTAGGTCAAGTACAGGACTATGGCCTGAAAAAGGGTAGTGCTAACTAGTAGGTGGTAAACCTATGGGGGTCAAATAAGACATAGATAGTTTAGGAATAAAGACTATGTGAGTTTTCCAACTTCTCACTAGCTGAACTCCCTCCCTCCTGTCCCAATGCCACATTGTTAAACATCCACGACCTATTATGCCCTTGTTCTAGATGCTGGGAACACTGAGTAAGACATGATCTCTGCCCTCACAGTTGGTTTGCTAGCACATAAAGATAAAAGACAGAACAATGTAGTAAGAAAAAAAAAGTGGTACATAAGGTACTATAGGAACACAGAAGACAGAATCTGATTTAGACAGGGAAGGAGGCTTCCTAGAACTAGTACTACATGGTATACATTTTAAAATATCAATATTATTCCTTCTAAACTCACCACACCCACACCCTCCTGCAAACACTGCCCTGCGTCCTCAATCAGGAAATTACAATGTGCTCTCTTGTTTGTGGTGTGCGTGTATGTGACAGAGAGAGAGAAGGGTAGAGGTGGAGAGAGAGAGAGAGAGAAAGGGAGATTTCAGCCTTTATGTTACCTGTTTTTATTTTAAGATGTGGGATAATGGAATCAGGTATAATTCTCTCTTAAAACATAATGCTCACCAAATTAAGCTCCTTCATTGTGAATGAACCTCATTTGATTTTGTGTATGGAATGCTGTCGTACAAAAGAAAAAGGCTCCCCACTCACCCCTTTCTACCAAAGAAAAATTCACCATTAGCAAGTTAAACCACAGACATAAGATTACTTACCAGTCAGCATAAAAATTTACTAAAGCAACATCAGCATTGTCTGAAATTGAAAAACAAAACCAAACAACCTAAGTTATTTGTGTCTACATAATTTTGACATAATTAAAGATGTGGTTTTCATCATGGTCTTTTTCTATTGCAAGGGCCCACTAAAAATACATAATGACAAGTTACCTCTTGCTTAGAAACCCATGCACAGAGTCTTGGACAATTTAATAATCCATTTCTGACCTTCCATATTTACAATAACTGAGAATTAGCTCTGCAAGTGAAATCCCATTTCACAGAACATACTGTAAAAAATAACTGAGCTCCGACGCCCCACCTGGTTGTAACACGTAATCTACTACTGACAGTATTGGGTAAAATGTATTCTTTCTGGTTCCTATCCACTTAACAGTTACTCTCTGTTACAAAAATAACTTAGTATCATTTGTGTGTCCAAATATGAAGACATATGAAAGATATATTCATTCCTTTCCCCTAAACCTAATACAGACAAACAAAAACTCAAGTACTCACAAAAACAAAACACAAAGATATTCTAGAATTTGGAAGAGTAAAGGAGTGAGAATATGTGAGTTTCAATTCTCTTCTTCCTTTTTTAGCTTCTGCTTATTCACTCTAAAACAGTGGTTCATAAACTGTGGTCACCAAACCAAGAAGCACCAGCATCACATAGGAACATACAGAAGTGTAAATTCTTAGGTGGAGCCTAGCAGTTTCTGTCAGAAACTGGGGGCCAGGCCTGCAGTACAGATAGTAATAAGTCTCCAGTGATGGGGATATATGGGAAAGTCTACAGAACCTCTGCTCTAAAGAGATCCCATCATGTGGAGGTGGACTTTTAGTACTTAAAACCAGTTTCAAGAACATAAAACAATGTGTGGTACTTGATAAATAAATCCCCTTCACCTCTATTTAATTTTGGGGTTTGTTCTGCTCAAACCAGTAGGTTGAAATGGAGTGCTTAAAAAAAATCATCTATGCACATTGCAGATTTTCTGCAATCTCCTAAATCGTGATTTTCAGTCAATCACGTTACCACCTTCCCTGCTACTTTTAGGAACAAAAAATGTTTTATCTAAAGTTAACTGTATCCACAAGCACACAGTCAGCAAACAAAGTATTCAGTGAAACACTGAATTTCATTGGACCAATGACAACAAAAGAGATCAGAGTAGGTGACTTAACAGTTTAAAGACACAAAAAAAACTTAGCTGTGTACTAAAGTCATTAACATTTAGTACAGCACAGTGAAAACTGCTGGCCTCTAAGTAGGCTTCAACAAAACACTTTAAGGATTGTTAGGAGTGGTATTTATGACAAGGCAGGGAAATAAAATGGGACTAAAATTTGCTTGCAACGCACCAAAAGAAATTTTACTAAAAATTAAAACCAAAAGTGCTTTGTTAATTCAGTGAACCATGGAATTAATCAGAATGTCAGCTCAACTGTCCCAGATAATTGAGATTTTATTTTATTTTTGTACATAAACTAACTCTATTTATAGAGAAGAAAGTGTACTTAAAAGATATCAAAGTACTTACTTAAAATGTCATCTATATTCTCTGTATCAAGACTTGTTATTTCAGTTGTTACAGGAGTAAAAACCCAAGTTACCTGGAAATTTCAGAAAAGTGAAATTAATGAATGTTTCCACAAAAGGCAAATAATGCAGAAAGTCTAAAAAGAAAATTTATGAATAAAGTTGGTTCCATTTCTTACTTATGAAATTATCCATCAGTTGCTTTTACTCTGTATTACCTACTCTAACCCTTCACTACAATCAATGAAATTGGAGAAGTACAAATTCTCAAGTCTGGCAACTGGTCAAATAAGAGTTCCTATACTTCCAAATATATAAAAGAGATTATTTCTAAGTAACTAAGTAAATTGAGAATTTACTCACTCTGTTAAATACTTTCAACAACTTTATCTCTACAATGCCAAAAGGAAAAAACTGACACATGATTACCAGTTTGGAAAGAATATACAACCAAAGCTAAGTTTGCTGATTCTATCTTGCCATGTTTGTAAGACAAAACGAAATAATGAAGAGAATTCAAAAGACTTCTAATTGTGATCCAAAAGCCCTTCTTGCCTCATTTTCAGTTACTGGTGGTAACAATATATTAAGTGAAAGGCCATTAAAAAGAGAGTAAGAATGTTTTGCTTCCACTGTGATGTGTCTGAAACATAAAATTCATGGAAGAAAATCTCAGCCTGCCATCCACAAGACAAAGAAAAAATACAATGTCACACTAAATTTGCAACTGTTCACTTATTTAAAAAAGTAATCTTTAGTGTATTTTATCTTTAGGCTCCATCTTTAATACACCGTGTTTTGATGCCTGGACAGCTCTTTGTTCAAACCATGGCTTGTACACGGAACTTCAGTCACGGAGCCACTGCTCTTTACTGAGTGCCAGGTCACGTCAGGTCCCAATCAGGGCACTAAAGACTACTCCTCCGCCCATCCTTTTCATGGACACTTCAGAACTCACAATAGTTACAACTCAAAAGTTTCATAATTTACCTACAATTCAATTTCTAAATGGTATAAAGAGACATGTTGATGCTAGTAAATAAGGCCAGCTAATTATCTGAAATATTGCTATAAATTTATTTGTTTATTAGAAAAAGCCTAAGAATAACACGAGACTTATTTTTCAAGTTACCACAATAATGTAGCCAAAAGCTAACTAGTATTTCTGCTACCCACCAATAAATTATACTATCCTAAAAGTAAGCTAGATCATTTTAAAATCCTGAATATTTGACCCATATAACTAGTTTCATTATTTTCAACACCTCAGTACCTATAAAGATCAGACTTCCCTTACTACCCATACCTCAATTAACAGATCCTTCCCTGATCGGTGTACAACAAGCTCTAGATAACTGTGTAACCTTTAAAAGATAAACTAAGGCATATTAAAATTTTTAGGAGTTTACTTGAGCAAATATCAATTCAAATCAGGCAGCATCCAATGTAGCAGATAAAAAAAAGAACTCCGAGGAGCTGTAGAAAATAAAAGACTTATGGGCAGCAGAGGGTGGGAACAAGGAAGTTTTAGCTAGGCAAAAAATAGTGAGTCGGTTATTACAAAGTTACTTTCCTTTAGGGGACGGCAGGGGCCTAGCAGGCAGATTACCTAACTAGTGTTTATCATACATTCCTGATTGGTTAAGATTACATTTCTGAGAGCTATAATTCTGTTTGGTGATGTAAGGCTTTTAGTCCTGCTGTCTTGTTTTTTTGTTTTCTTTTTGGTTGTGTTTTGTTTTAATCCTCTCCTGAGGCCATTTTTTCACTGCTTTTTAGAGAAAGAGGAAGGGGAGAGAGCGAGACAGAGGGAGAGAAACACTGATGTGAGAGAAACAGTATTTGGTTGCCTCCCGTATGCACATCAACTGAGGATGGAACCTGAAACCTAAGTATGTGCCCTGACAGGGAATCAAACACACAACCTTTCAGTGTATGGGACAGCTCTCCAACCAACCAAGTCACCCAGCCAGGGCTGCCAATTATATTGGTCAGCAAGACTGTATATTGAAAAATAATTCAAGATGATGATGCAAAAACATCATAAAGCAACAAAGTTGGTCATTATCAAAGTCGAGTCATTAGGTAACTCAACAGTCATTTATATTTATACGGTGTCCACTAGGTACTACTGAGGGCACAAATCCATCAAAGTACAGGTATGCTCTACCTCAAGGAGCTCTCAAACTTTTTGAAGTTATCACCTATCAAAATAAATGTGTACAGAGAACTATATTCTAAATTTAGTTGCTTTTACATGGTAGGTAACAACAAAAATGATGAACCAACAATCAATTTGGCTGTATAAATGGTGTGCAAATAAGCATGCAACTGATTAAGAGTATTCAGCTAACTATTGAGGCTACAGGGCCCAAAGCAAAAAAACTCTCTGACCCAACAATCTCTGCGCCCTGTAGGGTGTAAAGGAGGCATTTATCATTAAAATTTCTATTAATATGTAGTAATAGGGGAAGGACAGGTTGTTTATTTGAATTGTTAGCAAGCTCCACTAGACTGACAAATTGCTTCTTTTCACATCAGCCCTGGGCAGAAACAAGGTTCTCCTGGGGAAACATCTTTATTGTCAAATGCTATAGCATTTAAGTGAAACAAAGACAAGTAGCTCTACACCAGGAAGGAATGAGATGAATCATTAATTTAATTTTTAAATTTAGACTTGAAGTAAGATTCTAAGTTTATTTTTTAAAAAGAAACAGCAGCCAAGGCTGGTGTAGCTCAGTGGATTGAGTGTGGGCCTGCAAACCAAAGGGTCGCCGGTTCAATTCCCAGTCAGGGCACATGCCTGGGTTGCAGGCCAGGTCCTTAGTAGGGGGAGTGTGAGAGGCAACCACACATTCATGTTTCTCCCCCTCTCTTTCTCCCTCCCTTCCCCTCTGTCTATAAAAATAAATAAATCTTTAAAAAAAGAGAAAAGAAACAGCAAAATTCTACCCAGACATTTTGAATGGAAGATGGTAGTAGTCATGGAGAATACAGCCTCTAATAATGGAATGTTTAGGCAATATATGTAAATACATATATATATAAACATGAAGTATTTTACAAATTAGTCATTCTTTTCAGTTCATTAGCTCATTTGCTTGCCAAAAAAAAAAAAAAACTTCAGAGGTACCTTTTGAGTTTTCTTCTATGATCTTCTATAAGTCATTAGATAATTCCTTCAACATGCATTTCTTATACCAAATATTAAACATCCCAGTCTATATCTAGTGATATATCTTATATGAAGGCACATCAATGAAATGGTGAACATTGTACCCAAATTCATTAAAAAAAAATAAAGTGACAGTCTAGCTTTAAATAGGAGCTTCTTCAGCAAGAATATTTTCTTCCACTACATGAATTTTAAACATTAGGTGTCTCTGGGAACTAAAAAGCGTTTCTTTCCTTAGATTTCCCGGTACCTTCCATGACCCCTACCTGGCTAGTAATGGCAGTACCCTGGGTGTGCTTCCAGAGCACTTCTGAAGGACCCTAGCAGCCAGCTCCTTTTCCCAAAACACGTCCCACAATTTTCCTGCTTCCATCTCTCTGTGTACATGGTTCCCTCTACCTGGAGTGTCCTCTCTTCCACCACTGCGTAATTAGTCCTTCAATCATAGAGTCCCTTTTCCATGAAGCTCTGTGTATTTTTCCTGGTCAAAAATGCTTTTTTCCCCCTCAAAAGCCTGATCTACTCCATAGGGGTAGGAAAAGGGAAAACTCAGGCTAGGGAAATAGGAGTTATTATGAAATTAAAACTCTAGATTAGCCATCAAGTTGAAACAAGATAAAATGAAAATATGACTATGTGATAAAAGGTAGTATTTTAGAAATAAATTGCAGAAAGGTTTTTTATTAAGCACTCTTAGTGTTAGGTCAAACTTTGTTACAGTACTAACAAATATACAGGCTACAACGCTAGCACACTCGAAATGTTCCGATGCTCACTGAGAAGCCCCAGTGCTACTCCTTTAGGAAAACCATTAACTGAGTAAGTCACTAACCCAACAGGATCTTCTTCAGAAGTACAAACTCACACCATAATACATATTAGAAGTGAATTACTATAGCTTCTTTGTTCATAATTTTATCAATCAGTAAATTTCCCTAGTACATTAAGATCATTCAGGTTTTACCATTCAAATATACCCTTAATGGGCACTACTATGACACTCCCTTCAATCCAACCCGCCCATAGAGGCCAGGCTAATCTTTTTGAATGCTGATTTGCATCTGTTCATGCCTCTGCCCAATAAAAACCTCCAACGGTTTTTCACTGTCTATAATATAAAAGCCTAACTCCTTAGCCTATCATTTAGGGCCACTCACAAACTAGCTTTCCTAAGTCACATTCTAATGTTCCCCATCTATACTCCAACCAACAAATCTAGTTGGCCATATACTCTAGCTTGAGACAAACCCAGTTTATGCCTGTTGCCCTGAAATACTATTAATAGCGCCACCCCTTATCTAAAGGGTCCTGGTTTGGGCAATAAGTTATATGGCCACCCTATTTACAGCAGTCCCTCAGTAATTGAGAGGAATTGTAACAAGCTCTTCACAAAATCCTAAATAGAGAGGAATACATAGGGGCTGAGATACAATGTCAAACCAATCACTAGCTTCATTCATTGACTTTAAACACTAGGCTCTTAGCAAGGGTATAAAATCAATAACTCAGAAAAATTACTGCATGACCCTTCAAAGGTAACTTGCAAATGGTCCAAATCCTATAGATTACAAATTCAAGCATGCAAGGCATCTACAGTACCTGCAATTCCTAAAATGTGTCTTCTTAATCACCTCCATACTTGGTTCATGCAGCTTCCTCTGCTTGGAACACCTAGGAAAGCTTACCTAGTTTTCAAGACCCAATTCAAAAGCTACCTTTTCTCTAAAGACTTTTCTGATTGTACCAGACAATAGTGATTCATTTCTCTTTCCTCTGAACCCTGAGAGCACTTTCTGTAGGGTGTTAATATTCCTTTCCACATGAGTTATTTGTTACCTTACCTCCTGCAGGTGACTCTGAGTACCTTGAAAGTAGAGACTGTACCTTAATTTAATTTCA